GGTCTCTGCCCCGCCCCCTTGCTCGGGCTCTGCGGCGGCCCTCGCGCCCCCTAGTGTGAGCGACTCCCTCTTTGGGTGCCCAAGCTGGTAAGGATGATTCTGCGCCGGCCGGAGGCCTCAACACAGAGGGCCCTCAGCCCATTTTACAGATGAAGACAACTAAGAGCCAGAGAGGACAAGTTCGGCTACCTTGAAATGGCACAGCTGAGCTGGGATGGAAACCCAAGTCTCCTGATTCCCAGTCTGAAGCTCTTTCCAGTAGAGTGTTTGGAATCAAGAATGTGGATGTGGAGAAACCAGGTCTACCCAACAAAACAGCTTTGGGGGCCAGGGGTAAGCGAGTGAGGGTGGACTTTTCTTAGAATCATCCAGCTCAGATAAACCACTTCTCTGCACCACTGAGTAAACTGACACTCACTAAATAATCTCTAGGTCAAAGATGGGAAGGATCCAGGGGCAGATCCTTAGCCAGGCCAAATAGATATATAAATGAACCCAGCACATCAGATCTTCAATTTTTCAAGACAATCTAAAATGTTAGATAGTTTAGGTGAAATTTCCCATTTTTTAAAATGTTGGGAACATTTAAAAAGTCTAAAAATGCCATGTAGGCCAAAGGAAACGCATCTGTGGACTGGATTTGCTTTGCAGCCTCCTCTTTTCTTATAGAAGAGAGCACTGGATAAGGAGTTAGAACAGCAGATTGGTTTCTGGCAGCTGCTAGCTGGCTGAGGTGCCTTAACCACTTCCCCTCACTGGGCTTGGGAGGAGGTTGGGGTCCTCCGTGTGATAAAGGTCAGCCACATGATCTGGTCCCTGAGGTCCCTCCCATCTGATTCTCTTATGCTGGGTCTTGGCAAGTGTCATTTCCTTAGATTAGATTTAGGTCATGGGAAAATTGTCCAAATGACCAGGAAGGGACAGGGATGGGGCCCAGGAAATGGATCATGATGCCTTCATCAAGGACAAAGTTCAACCCAGCTGCTTCTGGTCCCAGCAGTCAAATAAGCAAAGGTGAGGGCAATGCTCTTTCTGCCCTGACCACATAGTCCAAACCAGATGCAGGTCAGATTTTTCTCCTCTGGGTGTGGCAGGTGGCTCCTGATGTCCTGTGCGTGTATAAAGTGCTGGGAGGGCAGTGTAGGCAATGCGCCTGATTTCTGTTAATTCCTGGGAACACTCTTCAGCAGTTGGCTTTACAGTTTCTAAGGAAATCTCTGCTATGATTATAGTAACTGCAAAATTATGTGTTGAATTAAAGTGACAGAGATCCAGGGAACTCTTCTGCTATCTCATGGCTAGCAAAAGTGGGGTGGTGGATTTTATTCACCCTCCACATGGAAAGAAGTTACACTGTATTTTCCCAGACACTTCTGTCTCACAGCAAGTCACTCGTCTGTCTCTTCTGCCTCTTCACTCTCTCATTCCATTTCTTTCCCACCTTCAGCCTCATGGTCTTCACCAGCAGGGAGTGGGGTATAACCAACTCCCCTAAGTCCCCCGTAAGGAAGTTCAGACTAACACTGAGAAATGCAAGTTGAAATGTAAAGGAAGAGCATAGCAGTCTGTGGAAATTATATACCCGAGATATCTTTTCAATATGCACCCAAAGAACATTTCAAAATCACTTGTGAACTTGAGAGGGGACTTCTGGAGGGCAGAAAAGAAGACCTACTGTATTTCTAACATCTGTCACCTGTCCACAGTTTTTGTGACCATGGCTTGCTCAGTCCTTGAGGTCGGATCCTGATGACTGGCTCAAAGTCAACTCTCTGGGCCTATAGAAAAGAGAAACTAGACCATCTTAAGGTTCAGGATCTGCCATCCCGAGAGAACTGCCAGACCTTCTCAGTGTCACTTGCTCCAAACTTAGCCAGTCTTTGGCCTCTAGTCTCTTCCCTCCCTGAATCGTCCCACATAAGATGGACTGATTAATCTTCCCAAGTTGTTTCTATCACTTCTCTACTCAAAAACCTTCAATAGCTCCCTATTGTTGGCTGGCTACTGTGTTGGACAGTGCAGTTAGAGAACATCTCCATCATGGGAGAACATTCTATTGGACAGTACTGAGTGTTGTTTTAGACAATAATCAGTAAGGGCTACTAACGTCACAAAGAGGGACCGCCAGACATTATGTGCCTCCTGGTATGATGCAACAAGAAGTATACACTACCACTTGTGATATAGTCTTACCAAAAAAAAAAAGAAAACAACAACAATGAAAAAATCAAGCCTGAATCTGGTCAGGCCTCTAGATCTAACCACCAATTCACAGAAAATATAAGAGTAAGAGGAACTTGTTAACACCACAGTAATGCAAACAGTAAAACTGAAGCTGTTGGAAATGCAGCAGGACAAATGAACTGGTGTCTTTAACAGATAAACTGCAAAGAAAAGAGAGGAAAGTGGAACCTAGGGATGTAATTGAGACTTGAGACATCTAATAGCAATTCAATTCAAACTATATAGGCTCTCTGCTCTTCCTGTTTGATAGATGGAGCCGTGTCCTCCTGTGCAGTGCCAGCAGTGACCCTGAGACATGATAGTGAAGGTTGGAGTGAACGGATTTAGCAGTATTGGGCACCTGGTCACCAGGACTGCTTTTAACTCTGGCAAAGTGGATATTGTCGCCATCAATGACCCCTTCATTGACCTCAATTACATGGTCTACATGTTCCAGTATGATTCCATCCATGGCAAGTTCAAAGGCTTAGTCAAGGTTGAGAATGGGAAGCTTGCCGCCAATGGAAAGCCCGTCATCGTCTTCCAGGAGTGAGATCCCACCAACATCAAATGGGGGCAATGCTAGTGCAGAATATGTTGTGGAGTCCACTAGTATCTTCACTACCTTGGAGAAGGCTGGGGCTCACTTGAAGAGTGGAGCCAAGCGAGTCATCATTTCTGCCCCTTCTGCGGATGCCCCCATGTTTGTGATGGGTGTGAACCATGAGAAGTATGACAACTCCCTCAAGATTGTCAGTAATGTCTCCTGCACCACCAACTGCTTGGCCCCCCTGGCCAAAGTCATCCATGACAACTTTGGCATCGTGGAAGGACTCATGACCACAGTCCACACCATCACTATCACCCAGAAGACTGTGCATGGCCCTTCTGGGAAGCTGTGGTGTTGGCCGAGGGGCTGCCCAGAACATCATCCCTGCTTCTACCAGCGCTGCCAAGGCTGTGGGGAAGGGTACCCTTGAGGTGAATGAGAAGCTTACTGGCATGGCCTTCCGTGTCCCTACCCCCAACCTGTCAGTTGTGGATCTGACCTGCTGCCTGGGAAAAGCTGCCAAATATGACATCAAGAAAGTGGTGAAGCAGGTGTCAGAGAGTCCCCTCAAGAGCATCCTGGACTATACTGAAGACCAGGTTGTTTCCTGAGACTTTGAAAAGTGATACACACTCTTCCACCTTCGATGCTGGGGCTGGCATTGCCCTCAATGACCACTTTGTCAAGCTCATTTCCTGGTATGACAATGAATTTGGCTACAGCAACAGGGTGGTAGACCTTATGGTCCACATGGTCTCCAAGGAATGAGTCCCCTGGACCACCAACCTCAGTGCGAAGAAGAGGCCCTCAGCTTCTGGGGAATTCTTGCCCCAAATCGATCCCCCAACACATTGAGAATCTCCTGACCTCCTGTTTCCATCCCAGACCCCATGAAGAAGGGGAGGGGCTTAGGGAGCCCTACTGTGTCATGCACCATCAATAAAGTTCACTGTACTCAGCCAAAAAAAAAAAAAGTTGAGACAACTAGGAAAATTTAAACAATTGGATCTATGATATTAAAAAATTATTTAAGGTAACAAAAGGCATTTTGGTTGTTTTAAAAATATCCTTCATGTGTATTGAAATACTTAATAGATGACAAAACTAGAATTTGCCTCAAAACAGACCAGTAGGGGATGAGAGAAGTGAGAGTAGAGATGAAACAGGACTAGACCTGTGCTCATGATTATTGGGGTTGGGTGATTAGTCCATGGAGGTTTTATTGTCCTACTTCTGTATTTTGTTTTCCACTGAAAACAAAAATTGTTTTTCTTATTGGGCTTTTGAGTTCTTGGAGTTCTCTTTACCTTTGCATTTTCTACTTTATCTTGGCACTAATCAACTTGATAATTATTAGGTCAAAGTGTAAGAGGGAAAAAAGAGCTCCTTTCAGAGGGATGACCTGTGACTCTTGTGTGCTGGGGAGCCTGTGGCTGGGCCAGGTTTGTAACTTCACTATCTTCTATCTCCACTCTGCTTCTGAGGAAATTCACAAAGCAGCACACTCCTGCAGGGAAATCACTTGCCCTGTCACAGAACATGCAGAGATGCTGACAGTGAATAACTTGTGATTGTCTTCAAGGTTCTGATCAAGCTAAGCTCCACTGTGGCAGCCTGCAAGCTTAGAAATTCCACATACCTGTAAGGACTGGGGCTGCCTGTCAGACAGGTCACACCTTGGGTAGGAATATATATAAAGCCAGGCCTCTAGCCTACACTTCTCATATCTAAGTATCAATGGCTATTTGAAGACTTTCATCCTCATTTTGACATTCTCAAGGACATACAAGCGCTTCCCAGAGGCCAGACCAGTATGACTACTGCCAACCCAACCTTGACCCATGACACAATCAAGAAGTCCACAGCTCGTGGTAATGTAAAACCATTTAATTCTAAATCGAATCACTTTCACAACAGTGAAAATTAGTGACCGGTCAAGGTGTGCCACTGTACATAGTATCATTTTCTGACTGTAGTTGAGACCTGGTCCTAAACCACAAAAGTGGCAGGAAGATGATGGAGGCCAAGAACAGAGAAAACACACATAAAAGAAAGGAAAACTGCCTTGGCAGAGGGGCAAGGTGATGAGCCTGCAAAGGGTTGGTAGGAAGGGGGCTCCCTGTCGAGGCTGGGCCAGCAGTCCCACGTTGGCTCTCTTGCCCCAGCTCCTGGCAGAGGATGAGTAGGGATCTGTGAGTTTCAAAATCAAAGGGCATATAGCCAACATGGTGTTAACAGCTTTCTGGGATACCTTTGCTGGTAGAGCTCTCCTGGGCTCACTCCATTTCATTAGAGTTCAAGTGAACCCTTCCTTCTTTAACCTGTCAGAAACCCATTTCTGTTGGGTCCATCTCATTGAAGTCCTCTCTTCTACCACTAGGTGGAGCCACTGCACTGAGGCAGTCTCCTGATCTTTCCAGTTGAGCAACTCCAGAGGCCCCTCAGACTTTGGGGATTTCCAGGTGATAAAAAGAGCACTCTTGAGTGGGTGCCCCTAAGGATGTTTAAAATCCATCAGGTATACTGTACAGCTGGTGGCTTATTCCTACCAAATGGATTCGGCAAACGAACCACATATTCAATACTTGTATTTTGTCTGTTTAAACACTGAACTCTGGCATTGACAGGTACAAGGGGGAAAGGATGGAGACTGTGGAGAGGGGAGCAAGGCTTCTCTCATCTTGGACAAGGTCTTAGTTTCCACACACTATGCAGAACCGTATCTGGAAAAAGACAGTAGGTAGGACTTTCTACCACTTGTTGGCTATTGCTGGGGGTAAGCCAGGAACAGAGTGGACTGGTGTGAAACGACAGAAGCCCCCAGAGAAGTCCATCTCCTCCTACCCTCAGGGTTACCCGGAAGAGGCTGGATTTCTAGAAAGAGGCCTGACTGATAGAGCGAGATCCGTTCCATCAAGTGAACTGTTCTCCTGCCTGGCACCGCACTCCTTCAATCAAATTCAGAGGAAGAATCTAGTGAAGTCAAAAAACAAATCAAGGGCTTGGGAAGAATGATTTCACAGAAGACCTTATCATATCACCGTGCTGAGGCTCCCCAGGCCCGCCAAGGGTTGCCTGCTCTAGTGTTAACATGTACACAAAGAGTTTTCAGGGGAGTCCATCAAGCTACATCAAAATTAGGGTCTTCCTTCCTCCCTGCCTCTTCATTGAGGACAAATTGGCTTCTGAGGAGGGTGGTCTTCAACATGCAGCTGGGCTGATTTGACAAAGCCCCCAGATTCCTTTTGGCAGGTCTGGGAGAAGATGCACACAGAACTTCTGCAGCTTTGGGACGTGGCTGCTTGTGCGGTTGTTTCTGCATCAGAGCTCTGAATCCTACCAGAGTCCCAAATGCAGGTCTTTCCTCACACGCAGCAGTCAACCCTGGCTTCAGCAGTAGTCTATGTAGGCTGTGTGCCCTCTGGCAGAGAGGCAGATGTGAGTAGTTTTGTGGGGAAAGCTGATGGAAAATCTGTGAGTGAAGCCATATGTCTCCAGGGATGATCTATGCCAGGAAACTAGGAAGTCACTCAAGCCACTCTCTGGGACCAAAGACACTCGTACAGCCTGGAGCCAATAAAAGATTTTTGGGTCTCTGGTGAATTCATGAAGCGACTCCAGCTTCAGCTACTGCAATTATGATCTTTATAGGACAGCAATTTCTTGCATCTCTGCTGAGGAGGAAATAGGACAGAGCAGCGTTGAGATCTTGAAGGGGAACCTCTCTGTATGAGGAGTACCACAGACTTCAGAGGCCACTTACCAAGGGGTATTTAAAGAGAAGAAAGTAAGTTTCCATAAGTACCATTTGATTCATCCCTTTGTTCCTATATAGCTCAGGTTAAACTGTACTGATATGACAGTTTCTCTCTTCCTGCCTCTTCCCTGTGCATAGTCAGGACGTGCTGAGTTGGCTAGATAGGATTTCATGGTGTAACCATGAGACACGGCTCAATGCCAAGGCCTGAGGTTATAGCAGGGTGTTTGTAGCAGTGGCCAAAATCCAGGGTCCTCGACAGCTGGTCTTGAGTCCCAAAGCTCTGAGGGAGAAGCAAGACTCCTTGATGTGTTACTGACCCCACTGATTCCAGGGATTAGCCAGGAAGCCAAACATCAAGAGTGAGGGTGGCATGTCACCAGTCCAGAGTCCCTGCCATGGATGTAGGCCGGGAGCCCAGCATTAGGCAATCAGGAGCCAGAACATGATCACCAGGGCCACAAACAGGAAGAGGCGTGACAGGAACTGTTCATCCACGTACTGAGGTGTTCCAGGGACAGCTGGAGAGACAAGGAGGAGAAAAGAGGCTGTCAGAATGCTGCAGCTGTGCACATTGGTCATTTGGGCCAGAAACTGAGAGGCTCAACCTTCATCTCTTTACAACAGAAACCTTCACACTAAAGTTTTCCAAACCCCAAATAATATCAGGCAAAACAAAATTGGAATTATGAAAATGTGGAATAATATAACAATGAGAATAAGGTCTCCAATTTATCTTAAGAGATTTTGGCCTGAAGGTGCAAATAAAACAGAAAACTCTGGGAGAATAATAAAAGAAAAGCTACTGTTTGTTAAGCATCTTCTGTGTGCCATTGTATACACATTACCACCTGGTGAGTATTATTCCCATTTTCTGTAAGAAACCAAAGCACAGACATGAAGTGACCTTCCCAAGATGATGAGGTTCATGAATTAGTGGCAAAGCCACACAGTCGTGCTCTCAGTCTCTCTAAGCATTGCCTCCTGATGCATGGAGTCTCTAGATCCTGGCACTATTGAACCAGGATAGATCTCAGAGCCCTGCATGGAGTGCCTTCCTTTTCCAGAGGAGAGAACTAGGGCTCAGACAAGCAAAATGACCCGTCTTCTTCACTGCATGGCAAACTGGGAGCAGAAATGGGCTGAGAACCTGGGTCTTCACTCCTCTCTGCTTTGAGAACAGCTACTATGTAGAGCTCCCTGTCCTGATTACGGGGGAAGGAGAGTTAAGAGAATCTACATCTTGATGGACAAATTGTGCCAAACAGGACAACAGAAAACAGTGTTGTGGCAAGAGGATAAAGTGATCCAGAGTCCAGCCTGGTTGTGGAACTGTTTACCTGGGGAATCCAAGGTGAGCCTTGGACCAGGTTGGAAGGAAGCAAGCTACCAAGTAGGTTCCTACTGCCTTCACGGGGCCCTGTCTCTCCTTCACACCGAAGCATACCATGCCATTTGGGGTCTCCTTCCTCAGAGAAAACATGTGAACCGAGGAGAAATCTTTCCGGCAGATAAGGTAAGGAAGGGCATTCCCAAGATCTCCTGGTGCTATACTACTCCCCAGTTAGGTGTGCTGATGGATTCATGCAGGCAGGCAGTTAACAAAGACTCATCGATTGCCTGCTATGTGACAAGCACCAGGGTGGGGACAGGGAACAACTGGAATGGCCCAGGAGTGGGTTATTGTCCTTGGAGCATAAGCTCCTGGCCAGGAACCACCTTCCAATCTGGTCCCTATTGTGCCTAGCACACACGAGACTCCAATGACTGTAAGCAGAGCTCAACTGAACTTGCAGCTGTGCAGGGTCCATGGTAAGGATCCTGGGTGTCAGACTGTGATAGAGTACAGGGCACCCACCTCACCACCCTGCTCTACACCAAATGCAGTAGGTACTCTCAAGCTGGCTGGAAGAAGAAAAGGTAGCAGCAGGTGGCAGGCCTAGGCATTATTTCCAAAGGGCTGGAGTTTGGGACCAGCCCTATGTGTGTCCTGAGGAAAGCTAGATAGAGATGCCAGAGAATATAGAAGTCCTGACTCCCTGCCAGTTCACCTTGCCCCTTCCAGTCCCCAAAGGTCAAAGTAGGGGGGTACATGTGCAGGACTAGGCTTTTCCTCAGCTAGGTATGGTGTATGGTTGATACTTTTTCATTTTATGGGCATGGGGTATGTCTCGGGAAACATTACTGAGTTTTTTATGATTTGTAAAGTGGAGCTAATTACACATCTGTCCCATAGGCTTATCATGAAGATCCTGAGTTTATAACAGTAAGCACTCTAAACATGGTAAGTTTATAACAGTAAGCACTCTAAACATGCTTAATACATGGTAAGTATGCATCATCATTAGCATGACCACCCGTAATCGGAAAAGAGTTTATCACATTTTGAAAAGGCTAATTATCTAGGTAGTAGATATGTAGCAGATATCTATGTAGTAGCTACCTATGTTACCTATATATTGCTGGAATCCAAGGAGCCTTCAAGCAGGACTACCAACAGAATAGGGTCTTACCTGGAGGAGGCCGCCCATCGTTTATGTTAAATGCTGTGGCAAATATCCCAAAGGGAAAAGCCCCAATTCCAAAAGACATCTGGAAGCCACCATCTCCAAATCCAAATCCTTGAAATCCCTGTGTGGAAGAAATGCAATTAAGAAACAGAACAAGCAGGTTTCTCCTATACCTGTTAAACATGTCACCTTACATGTGGCACCCACTTCTCCTCCCTGCCCTCTGCCACCTATTTCCAAGGGGGGATATCATTTCCTCCCATCTAGATCCCAAAACAGGAATCCTGGTGGCCCATCTGCCCTTCAACAGTCTCAGCTAAGGAGATATGCATGGCAGAAAGAACTGGCTCTGACCCAAAGTAAAACACTGCTGATGCAAGTCATGGTTCTTAGAGCTCCAGGTTCTTTCCCAGAGTCCCGCAATAGCCAGTACAATTTTCTACATACTTTGTAACAGCAAAATTGGCAATAACTCTTATGCCCAATTACAAAGGAATGTCAGGACAAGCTATAGATTATTGGCAATAGCAAAAAAGTGGAACCCTAATTAGCCAACAATGCAAGTGATGATGAAAATCTTGATACATGCTCTCAAAGGACATTACTCTGACTAAGCAGCAATAACAAAAAAACTCTGTGACCAAGTTATCAGACAAAATCGTTTGAACACCATGGTGACAAGTACATGACAATATGTAGGTATGTGGACATGATATATTTTCCCTTCAAATTTCCTTTTAATATTGTTAGGGAATTTTAAAAATTCAAAATACTTTTTCTGATACAAAAGTAATATATGCTTCTTACAAGAAATTCAGACATTATAGGAATAACTGACATGGAAAGTCAGAGGTTTCCTTATCCATTCATTTCACAGCCCCTCCCCTCCAATAGCCATAGTCAGCGGTTTAGTGTATCATCTCGAACTTTTGTTCCCTATATGTTATACACTGCAACATCTTTCATATGAAAAGATTCAATCAGCATCATAATATTGTGAATAACTCCCATTTTCTATGCGCTAACTCTGTGCCAGGCACCATGTTAAACACTAGGATACATAAACTAACTTGACCAAGGTAGTAGGGGGTGGAGTTTAGATCTAAAACTAAGTAAACATGATCCGAAAATCCATGCTCTTAATTACTGTGCATATCTTATAAAAAAATTTCTCTCTTCCCCTGCATCCCTGGGTAGAGCTTTAGAACAAATGATTAAAAAATAATAAAAAGAAGAAAAACGAATGGGCCAACTGTTCTCCACAAAGAGTCTTCATTTGAGTCTTTTGCAAGTCATGAAAGCGACTGCTCCCTATCTCATACTGAGCAGCCTGGCATCCAGCTTCAAACTTCTTGCTAGGCAGGACTACCTATATAAAGCTTAACAGTCAATTTAATAAGAGGGTAAATCTACATGGAAGAAAACCAACCAGTCTCCATTTCAGTGCAGAAATGCCTTCTATTCAGATCCAGCATGGTTGAGAGCCGGAGGGCTCCTGGGACCAAGGCTGTCTTACCCAGAAAGGTGCAATTGTTTCATCAGGAACCACCATTTCATTCAGTGCAATCCCCAGGACTGAACCCCCGGCCTCCCTTCTAGCAACATCTATACAATAAGTCCTCACATATGGTGGGTTTGTTCCTGAGGCAGAGTTGACAAAAAGGCATCACTGGTGGCTGCAGGTACTTGTCAATGTGAGAGGTGTGCATTGCAGGCATGAAGGCCAGGGCTTCTGACTTTCTGGAGCCTCTGATTCCTGGGTTAGAAGCTAATAATACTCCATAAGGAACCAGAGCCTAGGACAGTTAAAATGGTGGTGCCTGGTAATCAAGAGCATGGACTTCAATATCAGCCAGATCTGGGTTTCAGCCCTGTCTGTGAGGCCTGGATAAGTCACTTCACCTCCTGGGCCTCAGTTTGCTCTTCTATTAAATGGATTGATGTGAAGCTTAAGTGAGATCATGCACATAAAGCCTTTTACATACATTCTTTTTATATAATAATAATTCAACAAGTGTTAACTGCTATTATTATCAAGGGTAATCTGGAGAAGAGATCCTCAATTTCTATCAAGATCTCTGACTCGGTCAATAAACCTACCCTTGGGAACTCTAAGGAAATGCCATAATTCAAATGAGAAAAAAAATATGCAAAGGTGGTCACTGTAGCATAATTTATAACAGCAAATTATGGAAGCAACTAAAAGATCCTTCAATGTGGAAAACCTAAATTAGAATGCATCGACATTCAATGGAATAAATAGCAGCCTTTAAAAATAATAAAGAGGACAGACACTACAGAGAATCATGGAAAATACTGCCAAAATTAAAATTTATAGCAGCAAACAGAATGACAATGGCTACATAAAAATATATACACTCAAGTATACAGATGAAGAGAAGATGGGGAAATGAAGATATACTTGTGGGATTCTGGTAAGTGTGGGTAAATATTTTGATTTTAAAATTTCTTTAGTATTTTAACAAGAAATTAAAAAAAAATCTGATTTAAATATGCAAATATTTAGAGCTGGTAATTCTACTTTAAAAATTTATCCTAGTAAAATAATCATGAACCTGCTAAAAATGTATGTGTAAGTTCATCAAAGTATTTTTAAAACAGAAAAAGGAAACAGCTAAATGTCCAACAGTGGATTAAATAATTTATATGAAGTCCATACATCAGATCACTAAATGGTCACATAAAATATTATTGATATAAAAATCTCAAAATATATCGCTGAAAACCTCCCCCTCTCTGATACTGTAAACTTCATAAAGGCAGGATCTTTGCTATGTTCACTGATGTATCACTAATGCCTAGAATGATGCCCAGCACACAGAAGGCACTTAATATAGAATGAACAAAATTTTAAGAGGGTTACAAAAGAGGAGACAAATATTTTTTTTTAAAAAAGTAAATAAATATATGTTTATACACACATTTATCTATAAAATATACACGCATAAATAGTTCTATAAAATTTGTGTATGATTACAAAAAAATGGGAAAGAAAATAGACCAAAATGTTTCTATCTCCCCCTTTTCTTTTCTGTATTTTACATATTTTCCTTTACTTTTATAATCAAGGAGGAAAAAGTACAGGGCCAAGAGGGAAACTTCTAAAGCCAATTTCTCATTTCTAGAAGGTTCTCCTAGAATTTTCCTCACCCCTCTGTTTTCTGGCTCTGGCCTCTGTCCTTGAGGACGGGGAGGGGTCTTCTCTCTGAAACAGAAACAGTGTAAAATAGATCTATTACAAAATGCTTTGAGCTGCTCCCTGAGTAGCCTGGGAATTCTTCACCAGGGCCATGCCCCTTTCCTGCCCAGCACATGAACCTATGCCAAAATAACCCAAATACTAAATAACTCTTTGTTCTACTTGCAATTGTTTTTTCCTACCTATGGAGAAAATCAGTTTGTTAAAAGAAGTTCATCAGATTGCACTAAGCCTACTCCTCTCACAGAGAGCCTGACTCAGATTGGTTATGAATGGCAGCCAGGCACCTTTCCCAGGACTTGTGTGACATATAGGTCACAGATATAAAAAATCCCAAATCCAAACTGAAATAGAGGATGGCCTGCCAGCAGAAAGGGCTGAGATTCAGGGTCTCATTGATTTGCCCTTATTAACTTCAGCTTTATCTCCCACTACTCTTGGGCAAGTACTCTACACTATTCTTTTTGCCTCTCGGTCCTAGCCCCTTCCATCACTCATCCCATAAATACTGGACAGCGCTTGTTATCCATTAAGAAGCACAAGGCAGAATGCTACCAATACTAAGACTGACAGATCCTACTCTTCAGGTGTTCGTGGTTTAAAGGGGGCTACAACCAATCACAATACAGTGTAGGGAGGGAGTTCTTTAATAGAGGTATGAACTAAATGGGGTGGGAGAATGGGTGAGAACAACTGATGTGGGTTCGAGGAGTCACTTCAAAGAGGTAACTTTAGGGCTGCTCATTAAAGATGGGCAGAAGTTTGAGGAGAAGGAGGAGGAGAGGAGCAGAACCGGGAAGGGCAGAAGAGGCAGAGGGAAAACAAATACAAAGAAAGGCTCGTGAATATAAATAAATCCCTCTCAGAGAAGTCCAATATGTCTGGGCACAGGGTATGCTAGGGTGAGGTGGGAGATGGTAAGAGACACTGCTGGGGAGTTCAAAGGGTGGGGTGGGGTGTATATGTTTACACCATGAAGGGCTCTTAATATGTGTGACTGTGGAATGCCAGACCCACCCACACCTCCATTTCCAGAAATCTCAAACGCCACAAAGCCTCCCAGACCCCCTGTCCTCTCCTTCCCCGGTACTTTATATATCACTGCTACACAACTCCTCTCCTTGTAGACCTTTCTGCTGGACAGCCTGCTTTGCAGGTTGCTCCTTTACAAGTACTTTGCCACTTGTTTTTGTGATGCCTTGTGTGTTGCCCAGAACACTGCCTACCCACTGGCAGCGGATATCTGTATTACGGCTCAGGAAATAGCAACTTGGCACCCCTGCATTCCTAGCTGGCTCCCATCTGGATCCCAACTACCTCAGAACTGAGGGTCTGCGAGCACTACATAAAAGGTAGGGTAAGTTGGTGCAGAATGGAAGTGAATTCATGTCCAAGGGGTGGGTTTGAGCAGTGACCCAAGGCCTTACCTGGGGTCCTGTTGCCCAGTGCTGCCCCGGCCATAGAGTGGGATGACCTTGTCTCGGCTGATCCCAGCTTTGCAAACTGGACACACCTGTCTATTTGGTCTGGTCTCCAACCACTGCAAGCAGGAGAGAAAAACTCATAAATGGGACAAGCCCACCATAGAGCAGTCAGTCAGAGCCAGCCGGACAACATGGACTAGAGGCCTTAAATTGGAAACACCAGCACCAGCAGGGAACACCTCAAGGAACCTGACTCTCTGATTCCTACCCTCCTATTTCTTTCAACATTAAAAACATCAGAATCCTATTTAGGGTTTCCCAGGCCCCAGTTTTGCCCTCCTCCTCCTGTCATTTAATAAATATTTACTAGTAATGAAATCAAAATTGCCGTTAAGCACCGTCATAATTAAACAAGCTTCTTCATGCTACATTCCCTCTAGGGGCTCCCAGCAATACAACAGGAAGGAACTGCAAGCCTGGAGCTATGTCAAGGGGTCTGACAAACCTAGCTTCAGTTTAGGCTCTGAGTGCAGATATAACAAACTAAATCTCCACCTTCCCCGATGGAACAATTATTACCACAGCGGTTTGATATTGCTTTCTGTGACTTCTCATTTTTATATAATTTTCTCAACAACTTTGTATCTCAGACATTAGCATCTGCACATAAGCTGACTGTTTTCTGGTGACTTACTATGTGCTAAAGGATAGATTTTGCTCATTATCTAAATTTGCTTAGCATTTTTATGTACTTTCATTGATTTTTTTCATTCAACTATTTCTTTCAATATTAAAAACACCAGAATTCTGTTTGGGGTTTCCCAGGCCCTTTTACAGGTTAAATTAAAAAATATTTTGGTTAACTTTCTTAAAAAAAATAAAGATGAAAACATCTTACCTGTAGTGTCTTTGTAGACATTAAATAATTTGACATTTATATTCTCAACATTTATCTTAGAATATAAATTGCATTTTTAGACCCACTGATATGAAGCTTATTATATAAATGTGAACCTAGGACTTCAGGGCCAAAGAGAAGGCAGCATTTAATGATTTTATATCCTATTTCCTTTATCTTACTGTCAAAAGCTCCATAACTTATGTTATATGCTCTTTATAAATTTATAGCAAATATGTTCCACCAGGTTCCCCTGGGGTCAGAATGCACAGCCCTGAAGGTAGTAGGAACCCTTCTAAGATTCCCCATCCAGATTCTGAGGCTCTAGTGTTCTGAAACTTCTGTCCTCCCTCCACATTCCTAAGTCACCTACTAGTGTGGGCCTCTCCTGCTGGAGACAGTCAGCTCTCAGTGATTGTTCACAGCCAGTTGTGAACGCCAGGCCCTGCTCTGTCTTACCAAGCCGGTGCCTAAGTCTTGGCGAATACTTACTAACTAGTTTTCATAATAATCTAAATTTTTGTCTTTGTTGAGACAAAAAAAGTTTTCCCTTTCCTAACATTCTTAAGACCTTTAAGGGTGGGGGGATTGTTGATATGATAGGAGGTACTTTTTATAGAGGCAAAATCTCAAAAATAAAAACCTAACATACTATCAAATCTGACCCAATTTACAAATGAGAAATTGAGACCCAAAGAGGTGGTAGCCTGCCAAGGTCACAAAGGCCATGGGTAGCAGAGTCAGGACTATGCTGGGTACTACTCTAACCCTTGTTTCATCAAGTGCTTGTCAGTGGACAGGTTTATAATGGGGGTTAGGGGTAAAGCAAGCAAATGAGCCCACAAGTAGGGGAGATTGCAGTTTCTGACAGTAGTCTCCTGAGCCTAGGGGTGTCTTGTGCAACCACAGCTGATGAAAGACAAAGTAAAATGAAATGCATCTTACCTGATGTAAACACGGCCAACTGTCAGAGTCCCCGGGGCAACCAGTCATCAAGGAGAATGAGAAAGGGGAAAGGAAGAAAAATGCTTTCATTAGAAGAAAAATGGGAAATCAGGATCAAACTATGGAGTACTGCCATCCTACTGAGGGTCTGGGGGGATCACTGGTACCAGAAATTAGAAAACTGCCTAAAATCACAGAAAAAATGAGGCAATGGAGACAAGATGCCAATCTTCATCCCTGTGATCTCACTACTTGTGAAGACCCCCAGGTCACAGATCATCCCAGAACTAGCTTCTCTACAAGTCAAACTCTGAGTGGTTATGACCTTGGTAGGAATCCAACAAAAATTAAGGACCTTTTGTGCAGAAAAATTCATGGGGGAATCTTCATGATCTCATCCATGTGCACATGTGCATATGTACTATTTTAGACTCAATTTCAGTGGGTTCATAGATAGCCTCCTCAGACTCACAAGGAATGTATAGATCTAGATCCAGTGTAACAAAGTCTTCCAGCTGGCCCCAGCCTTGAGTGCTTGGCTGGCAGTAAGTAGCTTCAAAGTTCAGGTCCACTGTAAAAATATCTTTAAGTAATGATATTTTCTGCTACTTGGCAGAAAAGCCTACCTTCAGCTTAGCGAGTTATGCTAAGGTCATTGCTCACTCTCTTATTCTTTAAATGAGGAAACCAAGCTCATGAAATGACTTGCCTATAGGACCGGGACTTAAAAATAAGTCTCCTGACTTTCAGTTCACTGTCCTTTCTATCACACAGCATTGGTTGCAAAAAATGACATTTCCAGAATTGAAGGAAAAGTCATTCTAACTTCAGATTTTTTATTTTTCTTTCTCTCTCAATTCACTCATTAAACTATTGATATCTACCATACATCTATTACGGGCTGGGACTGTGGAAAATGTGGACATGGTTTCTGTCCTTCAAACAACATGTCTCCTCTAGTTGAGTAAAATTTGGACTCAGAGGATAATTCCATTCCCAATTCCTAAACCACAGTTTAGCCTCACAATCCAGATACACAATCTCCCTGGACATAAAAGATTCCTGACATCTGACTCCAACATTAACCTTGCCACGCCATTCCAAACTGAGCCAGTGGCACCCTAAATCATGGCAGATCTCCACTGGCAACTTCTCTCAAAGGCAGTGAGGGAGAAATGGATGTAACTTTTCTTCATGGTAATTTTAGGATTATGATGATTACTTCCATTTATTAAGCAATTACTGTGTGCCAGACTGTGGCTAAATAGCTCTGCATTTGTTAATGTCACTGGATAGTCACACTAAGCTTTGAGGAAGTGCAATTATCTCCATTTTTTGATCATAGTTTGATCCTGTTCTCCACAAATAAAGAAACAGATACAGAGAGGATAACAGATTTGGCACTCTGATTAGAAGTGTGTGTTTCATTTTAGAATCTGTGTCCTTTCCACTGATACCCCAACTTAACTTTTAATTTTGCCACTCATTCCAAGTTCTGGTTTTATAAAAATCTCAATCATAAAGCTAGAGTATTTCCAATTTCTAGGAGAGGGCTGTTGACAACAGTTTCCGCATAAAATTTAATTATTAAGGCAAGAGCCTCCAGAACAAAAATCTCTGCCTCGCTCAATTCACTCACCAATAAATTTATCAATTTCACTATTGCCAACTTAAACTCCCTTAAGTATTGCTTACATTACTTCACACCACTTCCCTAGTCAAAAATATCCAATAGCTCTACGTCCTACTCAGTCAAATCTGGGTTTGATAATCTGGCCTGATTCTCCCTTAACCATTCTAACACTCCCTATCCCACAGCATGCCTCCAGGATGCTATTCGAGGTATAGAGTAGCCTCAGGGTCTCAAATGAACCCAACAGTGCATATGCTTGTCCCTAGATATTGCCTGCTTTGGGGTGGCACATGCTTTGCCTTACCAGGCATTCTCGCCCTTCTATTACCCCAATTCACCCATCAAGATCCAGCTCAAAACTAAGAGAAAAAAAATAAGATCTCAACATTCACCCAGATTCTCAAGAGCCAGGAAGGGTATTCTATAACCATTAAGGCTGAAACGGATACTGACTCTGCTACTTCATTTTGATATACTACATGAAATATGGTAACAATTACTGGGATCATAGTTAACACGTAATATTTACTATGTGCTCTTCTAAGCCGTTAACATATTTCACATCATTTAATGTTCACAAACAACCCTATAAAATGAAGCAGAATGCATATAAGTACCTTCCTTGCCCAAGGTCATCCAGTAGGAAAAGCGGCAGAGTCAGGATTCATAGCAAGGCAGTCTGGCTCCACAGTCCTTGCTCATAACCACTGTGCTATACTGCCTCTTGGCTCAGCATAGCAAGTGGCACATAGTAAAGTGCTCACTAAATGGTGAGTGTAATCACTTTAGAGATGGGGATATGGAGCCCAGGGTGGGGACAGGATTTGCCCAAGGTTACTCAGCTCATCAGCGGCAGAACTGGGATGAGAACCCAGGTCTCTTGCCTTTGGGCCTGAATGTATCAAGACCCAAAGTAGGTGGGAAACCTTCTCTAAAGCTGTCTAGGGCTATGAGCTTTCTCAACTTGACAGTGTATCCTCTAGGGAGGAGGAAGGGGTACTGACCAGAAAAGGTGGCCGCACAGGCTGATGACGGCATCCTTGGCTGTGTCCAGGCAAATGTTGCACTCAAAGGTGCTGTCCTGCCCTCCGCTCTCGCCAGCACCATTGCTGCTGCCACTGGGCCCCCCTGCACTGGAGTTCTCAGGGGATGCAGAGGCCGAGGGCCCCTTGTTTGCCATCCTTGGCTTTCAGCAAACTCTTGAGTGAAGATTCTCCCCGGGAAAATCCTGAAAGGCAAAGAGCCCTTGATTGTCCATTTCTGCAGCCCAGTATCTCTCACCCTGGCTCCACACCAATACCCCCATCTCCTCTCAGCTCCAGAAGTTCAGACTGAACTCCTGAGTAGACTTCCCAGGGGCTGCAGAGGATAACAGTTGTGGGGCACTAGAGAGCAATGACTCAGAAACTTCCATGAACATAGTGTAGAATGTACCACACAAATACACAAACCATTCCAATATAGAGCAGTCTCCAGATGGACTCTCCAGAAGAACTGGCATCCTGTCTCACTGTCTTTACATTCTCCCAGGATAACCACCCCAGATGACAAATACTTGCTCAGTCAAATTGAACAGTCACAGGCTGTCCTCTAACTATGGACAGCCTCCATGTTGGCAGGTGAATCTGCTCAGGCCAGAAAGTATGTGACTGGTATATGCCGGAATACAAAGAAAACCCATAACTATGAAAGGTGAGGTGCTAGAAAGGACAAGAAAAGTCATCTGGTCCGATGTCTTCCACACTGCAATCCTTTGCATTTCCCTTTCTGCCAAGTTAGAATACCACCCACCTTATTTTGTCTAAATCAACTTTTTAGCTTCAATACCTTTAAAGAGGAGGCTTATGATACTGCTGAAAATAGAAAACCAGTATTACTTAACATAAGTGAAAGATAAATATAAATGTAATGAAGGAAAATCTTTTATTCTCATACCATCTGAAACCATCTGGCACACTCATATCATGCTGTGGGCGAATCTGATCTGATCTAATGTCTTTAGGAAACTGTGGCCTGAGACTGCTCGGGCTACCTGACTCATGTGGAGCTGAGACTGGGACTCATGACACTCAGTTTGTATTCAAATCACTGTGCCAACAAAGATCAAGCTGGCCACCAAATGCTGGGAGAAAGAGAATGCTGTTCACTACTATCTCCAAATCAAAGAGTCTGCCAGGAGCTGAACAGAAGGAGGACTAGACCAACACCAAAGGATACTCAGAAATTCTGGGTGCAGATTAAGCATCTGTCAAGAGCCCTGATCTGGCTACTCTCACAATCTCAGAAATTCCAAGGAGGAAATGCTAGCTAGCTACCACAGTCAGAGAATCAGGGGCTTGGATGCTGGTCCCAGTCAACAGGTATTTTTGGGAACCTCCCTTCTCCTCCCCAGGCCAGTTTTCTCATCTGTAAACTGAGGCACTGGACAACATGGTCTCCTAGGTGCCCTTTTCCAGCTCTGAAACTGTGTTGTTCCAGGTCACCTCATCCACCCTCTCCAAAGCAGGTGGCCCCGCCACAAGTCTGGGACTCACCAATGGAGCACAAGACCACCACCCCGATTTCAGCTTCCAAAGTATGAGGAGGCGAGGACCAAAAATCCACAGTTCTCTCTCAGACCAAGAAGGCTTTCTAGACACCACCACCTCAGAACTCTGGACTCATGAGCATCTCTCAGCACAAAAGCAGCTCAGTGACTTAGGGAGAAGAGGACAGCTCACTGCCACCTTTTCACTCAGTTACATCATTTTACATAATGTCCCAGAAGGACAGCCAGCTGCCAGCAGCACCAGTGCCTTGCTGGCCACAGTTCCAAGACCTTACCTATAACCCAGTACTTCCTCCTCTCCATACACATTTGCTCTCTTCTTTGTAGGATGGAGTCTACTTGTGAGGGCTACATTATGGCTTTTCTTTGCTGTTCTAGCTAAAGTATCCTACATATTTTTCTTTAAAAAAAAAAAGAAAATCTTTTAAGATGAAGGACTATGTGTATAGATATGGAAATACAACCATAAAGTCAGGTTCACAGATTGATCTTGACTGTCTTTTGTCAAGACAGCAGACAGCACAACCAATAAAGCATTCTTCCTTAAAAAGAAAACGCAGACTCTAATTAAGCCTCTAAAATGGTAGTGGAGAGAAAAGATGAATTAAGAACAGGAAAGTTGATGGTTTTTGGTACTGGATGATGAATGGAGACTCACTGTAGTAATTTATTTTGTGTGTGCTTATAAATTTCCATAATAAAAGGTATTTAAAAAAAATGGTCAGGTTGCAAAAGAGTATGTGTATGAATGGGTAAAAACAAAGCATAAAATGAGTGTGTGTATACATGTATACACGCATATACATATGTGTATATATACTTATATAGACATACATATATACACATATGCAAAGAAAATGTCTAGAAGGCACATACTAAACTATCAACAGTCATTTCTGGGATTATGAGGGCTGGGGAATTTTGAATTTTATATTCTTATCTTGCTTTAATGTTTCATGATAAGCAGATATTACTCTTACAATAATATTTTTAAAAAGGAAATTATAAAATTTATGTATAATATTATATTTGTTAAATAATGAATATAAATATTAGTAAATGTCTTTTAAAATGTTGAAGAACATACCAAACTGTTAATAGTGATTATCTCTGTATTGGTGGGGCTTAGAGGTAGGGACTTATACTTTCTGAATCTTCTCCATTCATAAAACTGACATTTTTACATGTATTAATTCTGAAATCAGACATGAGTGAGAGAACATGTTTTTAAAATTTCCCTAATGTTCCAGTTTTCCCCAACCCTGAAAAGCTCTGAATTCAAGTCCTGACTCCACCACTGACTAGCTGTGTGGCTAAGGGCAGACACCTTGATGGCTTCAACTGTTTTTCTCATATGAAAAGTGAGGGTGTCATGCCTCCTACAAGGCTGCTAAGGTGGCCCTGTGAGATAACACAGTAACTTGAAGAGCGCACCAAGGTAAGAGGGGGCTGTTGCTGCTGGGGAGATGCACACACACAGACACACACACACATACCTACCCTGGTCCACTGCCCTCTCCACTCCCTGGACCTAACAAGGCTCTGCATGGTGCATAATCCTACACACAGGGACAAGGGGACAGTCAGGTTCAAGGTAAGTATCACCTGACAATATCAGGTCAGCTCAGAGTTTGCAGGGAGTAGGTGCCTTGCAGCAGGCCAGGCACTGGAATAGGTCTGCATGGCCCAACTCTAGGCAGATCACATCGCTCTCAGTCTAATTTTTAACAGACTAATTACATGGTGCCTACCTGGGTTCTAGAGCCTCATCCTGGAAGGCACTCAAATATTTGCTGAGTAGGTTCAGGCATGCATGACTAATCTTGGTCAACTCCCAGGCCAACTACTCACAAATGTCTTTTTGCAATATATCCTTGGCCCCAGAGCTGCACAGCCATCCCTAGAGCCTCTTCTCCTCATCTCCTCCCTACCCTCAAGCACAGGAACCTTACTGCATCAGGGCAACATGGCAGAAATGGGCAACTTTCCCTGGGAACTGTCCACTGAGCACCTCCAGAAAAACGAAATGTGGCCACAACTTCATGGACTCAGACTGAGACAGTGACTCAGAGGACAGAGGGCCCTGGTCAGCTCAGGAACTGGACAGAGTAAAAGGGAAGCAGGCCCAGAGCATGCCTGGGCTGCCATCCTAATAAAATTTTTTACTGGTTCCTGTAGAGCCTAAAGACTTGGACTTGACCACACAGAGACCTTGTGGCTGGTTTTGTGCCCCTGTCTCTAACTTGACCATTCTTGATTCTTGATCTGAATCCATTTTCTAGTTTTTAAAACATTCACATCTATTACTCCTTCTGACCTTTAGTTTACAGAGGAAGATATCAGGCCATGGATGTTAGAGGATTTGCCCAAGGCCAGGTCATCATACAGTGCCAAATTCAGACTTTCCAACACAGCATCAGCACTCTTTTCACTCTTACATATTACCCTTTAACATGCAGCTCTACAAAATTAAATACCTGGTCTTTGTTTTCCCTCAAATTCATTGTGCAATGCTATAACTTTTACGTTCTTTGAAGTGAATGCAAAGCAAACTCACCACTCAACCATTTATGCATTCAACCAACAGAGCTCCATACCAACTACAATCAAGGCTGGCTGCGGCAGCGGGTGTGTGTGTGGGGGTGGTGGGAGTGGGGAGGTGGTCACAAAGAAGAGCAAGGTCAAGTTGAAGCTCTAGAATCTAGGACAGGAGCTAAGGAAGATACATGGATTCTTAACAAGGGGCCACATCAAACATCAAACTTGCCTGTTTTTCCTAAACAAGGCACCTTCTCAGAGTTCTGGTTTCTAGACCCTCTCAAGGATTTAAACAGAATATGGATCTGGATAGGGCCCACTAATCTACATCTTTAAATAAATGTGCCCTACTTTCCACTCCAGATGATTCTTGGACGAAGAGTTTTGGAAACCTAGATCTCAAACAGGGAGAACGTTACCAAAAGCACAATGCAATTACAGCACAGCACAGAGTTTGGGAGGGACAGCAAACTCAAGAGCCTGTCCTTCAGAATACACAACCTCTAGCTACAGTCCAGAGGCACTATGGAGAGGTCAGATAAACTTGGGAGGTGAGGGATAAGTTCACTGAGATCTCAGACCAGCCAGCACCTGGTCCATCCAGAACAGAGCTTACTATGTAAGAAACAAGTTCACACCTAGTTTCAAAAAACATTCCTAAATTTGAGATGTCAAGGGCAGCATCGGTGGTGCTGGGACTAAAGCAGATCTGCAATGCTTAATTATCTCTTAGGAATAGAGCCTAGAAGCTAAAGTGAACTGACCCAGCATCCTCACTCTTTTTACCTTCCCAGAGCTGGTCTGTTCCACCTCACAGAACTGAGCAAGGGAGAGAATGCGAGCTGCATATCCCTGTAGGAACCACCAGGGAACTGGACCTCATGAAGAAATCTTCAGATTCTAGAGAACTGCAGGTATTCATAATCTGCCTCCTCTGCCCTTTTAACTCAAAGAATTCCTGGACCAGGGCGTACAGAGAAATCTAGAAATGTTAATCCTAGTTATGAAGATAACAAATTTGAGTGATAGATAAATAACTGGCATGAGCCAAGAGGGGACCCAGCAGAGGTCTTCTTCCATTGGGCACATGCTTGTTCATACATGCCAAGAACTGCGGTAAGCCTGAGCCTGTCTGCGCTGCT